CGCGTCGGTCCCCCGGCCCCTGCGCCCCCCCCGCCGGCGTCCGTCCCCGGGCTCGGACCCCGCAGGGCGCACGCGGTTGGAGCTGCGAGGCCGCGGCTGGCCCTAAACTGCCCGGCGGCGGGAGCGTGCCCGGCGCCCCATCCCGCCCTCCGCGGGGACCAGGCCTGGGCCGAGACGCCTGCCGGCGCTGCGAGGGTTAAACGTTCCCCTGCGCGCCGACCTGCCGCTGCGTGACCGCACACGCCGGGCTCCGCTCCTCGGCTGCGTCTTCGCTCTCTTATTTCCTGACCTGCAGGGTGAGCTCGCACTAAGGGGCGGGGCGACGACGCCCCCACACTCCGCGTGGCCCGGGAGGAACAGCTCCCAGCTCGGAAATGCCGGCGACAGCCGTTTAGGAAGGGACGGCGTCGTTTAACGAGGACTTCATATCGGGAGAGCAGGTCAGGACAGCACGGCCGGGTTAGCAGGGCCGGGTCGGGGCCGGGCCGGGCCGTACACTCCGACTATCCGCGCCGGTTATTCCCAGGTTGCAGGCAACTTGAAGCTACTAGGACTTTCTGAGGGCTTTTGATATCTGCCTTCACACCCCGGAATAGAAAGATGAAAACTGGTTTGAAAGAGAAGACTTGGTTTATACTGCACAGAATCAGCAGAGCCTCCGCAGGGGCCGCCTCCAGCTTCGCTTGCTACCCTGCGAACAGCTGCGCCAACTCGGCCCCCTGGCTACCCTCCCCGCACCAGCGGTGTCCTGAAACCTGGCACTCCTGGGCCGGCGCCTCTCCTCCTGCCGGTACCTGAGTGCGTCCCCCAGAGGAAAGCTGCTGGGGACTGCGTGGGTGCGGGGATGGACTTGCTCTAGGGAAGGGAACTTTTGCAGTGTTCCTCTTAGAATATACTACGCTGCCAGAGGTGCTGCAGAGCTGGTTTGCTTCTCAAGCTCTGGGCTGTGAGTCCTTTGACCACACTCACCTGCAATCATGTCACATGGAAGGGGGCGATGGGGACGTGTGAGACTGTCTCTGAAGAGACACGTGAGGTGGTGTTCTCCCGCCCTCCTCACTCCTGCCTTGAGACCCCTCCCCTGACCCATCCCATCCCCTTCATCGCTTCCCCCCATGTGCTTTGAGGACTACCAAGCGTGATGTGAAGGGGAGCTATTACTTTTTGCAATTTACAGAAAATAAAAATCATCCCAGGCCAGCAGGTGGCACGGTGGTTAAAGTGCTAGACTCCCACCTGGTTGACTATGGTTCAAGTCCTAGGCCCGGTGGCTCAAAATCACTGTAGGGAGCTTCCTTTTTTCCAGGTGGAACCATGGAGGGCATACAAGAGAACAAAGAGAAGGTTCCTGCTGCAGCAGAAACCAAGAAAAAGGTTCCTGTTGTGCTAGAAACCCTTAAGAAAAAGCGAAGGAATTTTGTGGAACTGAAGATCAAGTACCTGAGAAAGAAGTTTGCTTTTTAAATTTTTTAGAGGTTTTTGCTATAGGGTGCGTGCACTCACCAGAAAGACGGAGAGAGACAGAGAGACAGAAAGCGAGAAATCACCCCCCAGGGGGGATGGCCACGCCATCCCTTCTCCTCTCAGGATCTTGGGCTCGCACGCACATGCGTCTCCGGTGTGAGTTCAAGCCACTGGGTCTGGGACTCAAACCATGGTCGACTACATGGGAGTCCAGCGACATAGCCATTACGCCAACTGCTGGTCCTCTGGCATGATTTTCAAGCCCCTGGGTCCAGGACTCAAGAGCTGGACTACTTTTTAAAGTTTATCTATTTCTTTTTTGTGAGTGGGTGTGGGGTGGGCTCATGCTCAGCGGGCAGTTCACGCCGCAGTCCACCTGAGTCCTGGGACCAGCCAGGACTCAGCACAGCCGTGTTGGCTCAGGCAGACCTGGGAACCCAGCCTAGTGTTCTTGCATGGCTCAGGTTTCTACCCTCCTGCCTGCGCACCAGGCTGGTTTAAATGCAGGGGTCTTACCCATCATTTTTAACTATGCGGCTTTGTCTAGGGACCACGGAACATTATGAAGAGAGGGGACACAGTGGCCCCCCCACACCCCGGGGAAGCCGCAGACCGGCCCAGGTCCCACAGAGCTCAGTGCACACAGCGCTTTCCCGCCTGCCACACCCGCCCCCCCCCCCCCTTGCAGAGGGAGCTTCTACAGCGTGGATCGCCACGGAGGAGTCGCGCCTCGGGTGGGTGCAGCAGGGCGCTGCGAGATGTGGTTACTCAGAATGCGGCACAATTTAAAACTCACTGTTTATTTCTGGAGTGTTTTATTGAATATGGTCGAACCACCGCTGACCCGGTAACCGCAGGGGGAACGCATCCGAGAGAGAGCAGCTGCGAATGCCCTAGAGGACGGGTAGGGGGCGCCAAAGGCGAGGAGCGGAGCCCGCAGCGGAGCCCGCAGTGGCAGCGCGGCCCAGCGCGGGACTCAGGCTCGCTCTCTGTCCCTCTCCCTCGTTAAGAAGTCTTTAATTTTAGGCTCTTCATCAGCGAGTTAAGCGGCACGGCTAGCCGGCCGAGCTCAGCTCTCTGGACGCGGGGAAGGTGCCGGCTCCCGGTGGAGGTGAACGTCTCCCAGGCGGAGGGCGGAGGGCGGAGGGCGGAGGGCGTGGCCGACGCGGGGAAGCCGGGTGTTCCCCGGGGCCGGCAGGCAGTTCCTGGGCAGTCCCCGGGCCTGGGGAGCGGCCCGGGGGTGAAGAGGCAGCGTGGTCTCCACGACAGGGCATCGCATCCGCGCTCAGCGCCAGGTGCCCCGGCCTCGCGCGCCGCAGAGGGAAACGCTGTTGCCAACCTGCAAGAGGCGTCCGGCGGGGAGGCCCTTCCGCTCGGAGAGACGGTGCAATCTGGGGAAGAGTGAATCTTAGAATCAGTAACGTATAGTAACAAGAAAAGTGAGAGGATGAACGTGGGAGGCAGTAAGAAAGGGATGCCAGTTTACCGCGAGCCGAGTTAGGTCCGGGGGAGAGCCAGCCAGGCGTCCCTCCTTCCCCGACCCCTCAGCGCACGCGGGCACCCAGGGCGCCAAGCACCTCCTTCCCAGTCTGGAGGCCCTTCTTTTCCTTTTCTCGCCTGACCATCCTGGCGAGAACCACCAGCGGCTTGTCGCGTAGAGGCAAGGGCACACAGCCTGTGCTGTCCCAACTTCCAGAAGGTGACAATCGGCTTGTCACCCCTAGGGACCTTGTCCATGGAGACTTTCCGACCTCCTGTCAATTTCAGGAGTGTCTCTTCTTTCCAAATTTACTGAGTTTTTATCAAGAATGAGTATTAGGGGACCAGAAATTGGCATAATGGCTATGTCTCTGGACTCCCATGTAGTCGACCGTGGTTCAAATCCCGGACCCGGTGGCTTAAACTCACGCCAGGCATGTGTGCGTGTGTGCCCAAGATCCCGAGAGGAGAATGGAGGAGAAGGGATTGCGGCATGACCATCCCCCCGGGGGGTGATTTCTTGCTTTCTATCCCTCTGTCTCTCTCTCTCTGTCTTTATGGCGAGCGCACGTGCCCTATAGCATAAATCTCTCCAAAAGAAAAAAAGAATGAATATGAGATTGTATTGTTGTTTTTTACATACATTCATTTACTTCTCCCATGAGCGAAAGAGACGGAGATAGAGAAAGGGGGCAACATTTCCAACAGGGTGTACCCCCTTCCCAGACGGCCCCGCATCGTGGGCAGGCCCATGCCCAGCCTACCCGGGGAGGTCTCTGTACTTGAACTGGGAACCTTCCAGGGAGTGCCTCACAGGGCACTGTGCTTTGCTGCTGCACCACCGTCTGGCTCCCAGATGTTGTCAGATGTTTTCTGCATCCATCGAGGTGGTCGCATGGGATTCCTTCCTACTGCATTGACCTGCAGTATTATGGAGACTGATTTTTGCACAATAAACCCACTTTATATCCCTGGGACAGACTCCACTTGGTCATGGTGGATTATCCTTTGAGCATATTATTGGATTCAATGTGCTAAAATATGTTCAGGCTTCTCACATCATGTGTAAGTGGGGTGCTGTGTGGTTCCCCTTCTTGGGATGTCTTGCAGTTTTGGTACCAGGGTAATGCTGGGCTCACGGAATGGGAGAAACGATTCCGTCCCTTCTGACTGTGTTGGAAGAATGTGTGTAGAATGGGTATTTTTTCTTCGCTGGTACATCCACAAGTGAAGACAGTTTTCTATACAAACAGTATCTAACTGCAAATGCAACGCCTTTAATGGAGATTGAAGTTAGCCATGGTGAGTGTACCTTAATCTAGAGAGAAAGAGTGGGCTGGCCCCACAGTTCAGCGGTCAAGGGAAGCCTCTCCCACACACCCGCTGCAGCTCGAGCCCCAGAAGCTTGAAACACGCTGATGTGTTTGTGCCCCAAACCCTGACAGCATGGAGAGACAGAGGAGAAGGGGTTGTGGCATGAGCACACCCCGCTGGGGGTGCTTCACCCCTCTCTGTCTGTCTCCGTCTGTCCCTAGTCAGCACATTGACCTCTGGCGATCTAAAGAAAAAAGAAGAAAGAAAGAGTCGTAGAAAGAAAAAAATTATAAAAAGAGGGACCAGTAGGTGGCATGTGGTTACATCACTGGACTCCCACGTAGTTGAATGCAGTTCGAGTCCTGGGCCCAGTGGCTTGAAACTCACACTGGGCGCGTGTGCGTGCGTGCCCAACCCCGAGAAGAGAATGGGGGAGAAGGGACTGTGGCGTGGCCATGCCCCCTGGGGGGTGATTTCTCGCTTTCCGTCTCTGTGTCTCTCTCTTTGTGGTGAGCACACGCACCCTAAAGCAAATATCTCTGAAGAAAAAGTGAAAGTGCTTTGAAAAATACGAAGTCCACGGTGGCCACGCAGAGTCATAGCGATGACAACAGCGACTGCGGTCACTGAGGGCCGTCCGTTTGCTGGCCTCGGGTGCCCTGGGCGCCATTACTGCATTGCTTCCCGCAGAGTTCTGAGAACAACTCCATGATGCATTATACCTATGGGCTGGGAAGCTGAGACTCAGAGAGGTTAATGAATTTGCCCAAGGTCACACAGCCCGAAAGTAAGGACACTGGAATTTAAGCCCAAGCATATGTGACCTCTGTTCTGGTCTTTTCCCTCATTCTGACATTTTCTCTTCAAACCCTGGGTTTATCCTG